CTGAAACAATTTTAACCCCACTGCGAAGCCTCGTAAGGATGCCTACCCTGAAGAAGTTACCCTCCGGAAAAACCATTTCTGAAGAAGGGTCTAGGCCCAAAACGTCAGCCTTCCTGCTCCTCCGATGCTGCTTGGCCTGCTGTGTTCATCCAGCTCTACACCTTGTTATCTGTGATTGGAAGAGCATCTCTTTGCAATTCTAGCTGTTCCAGCCTAAGGGGTGACTTTTCTCAGATTTCTCACTCTGGGATTGAATTGAGAAAAACTGGCAACCTGCCACTCCTGCAGCCTTGATCCCTTGGCGAAAGTGGCGGAGAATGATATGCTGGATCTGGAGGTTGTTGGGGTGGTATGTGAGGACTAGAGGGATTCTGTCTTTATTCTTGTTGGCGGAAGGGGGGTTTGAGGGCAGAAGTGCGGGAAATGTATGAGATGCGGGTGAGGGCATTTTTAATCACCGGAAGCGGGGAGTTGCAGTCATTGAAATAGGAGGACATCTAGGATGTCCGGGAGTGGAATACTCCATCTTGGAAGCAGATGCGGCAGAGGCGGAGGAATTGGGAGTAAGGGATCGCATATCCTCACATACCACCCCACCAACCTCCGCATCCAGCATATCATTCTCTGCCAATTCCGCCACCTACAATCTCACCCCACGACCAAAGAGATATTTGCCTCCCCGCCCCTATCTGCCTTTTTGGAGGGACTGCTCTCTCCGCAACTCCCTCATCTGCTGCACACTCCCCACTAACCGCACCTTTCCCTGGGAAGTGCCACACCTGCCCCTACACCTCTCCCTTAACCCCTATCCAAGGCCCAAAGCAAACCTTTCATATCCGACAGGGGTTCATCTGTACATCCTCCAACTTGGTCTACAGTATCCTTTGCTCCCAAAGTGGCCTCCTCTACATCGGTGAGGACAAGCATAGACTCGGGGACCATTTCGTAGAGCATCTGCACTCTGTTCGCGACAAACGGCAGCACCTTCCAGTCTCCAACCATTTTAACTCCCCCTCCCTGTCCCTGGGTGACATGTCCATCCTGGACCTCCTCCCGTGCCACAATGACACCACACACAAACTGGAGGAGCAAAACCTCATATTTTGCTTCGGGAGCGTACAGCCCAATGGCCTTAATGTAGAATTCACCAGTTTTAAAATATCCCCACCCCCAGCCTCACCCCATGTCCAACCCTCCCTCTCATTCCCACCTCCTTGACCTGACGCAACCTGTCCACCTTCTTCCCCACCTATCTGCCCCACCCATCCCACTGACCAATCCCCACCACTCCCTACCTGCACTCATCTATCACCATCCCACCTACCTTCCCCAGCCCCACCCCTCCTCTCTCTATTTATTTCCCAGCTCCCTTCCCCCTCCCCATGTCTGAAGGAGGGTCCTGATCTGAAATGTCAGCTTTCCTGCTGCTCTGATGCTGCCTGGCCTGCTGCGTTTCTCCACACTGTTGTCTCTGACTCTAGCATCTGCAGTTCTTGCTATCTCCTACTTTATAGGCTTGTCCTTTTTGCAGGAGCTGTAAAAGCAGGTTCCTGTGCTTCTGGACATTTCAATCACAGAACAGGGCACACTGACTGCAGCGAAGTGGGGCCTGGTTTTTATGAGGATCTTCTTCACAGCTCGAATTGTGGATTCTGGACAGGTTTGGAACACATGGCCCCTGACCAGGAATCTACAGTGTAGAAAACATCTAAAAGTAAGTGGTTAATTTTTAGGGTTTCTGATCCTCATTGGATGTCTGGACTAATATTACAGCTGAGGCACAACCAGCGCTTCAAAACCTTTTATCACAATTCTTGTTTTGTAGACTATGCATCTATGTTTATAAAGCCCAAGATTCAGTATGACTTGTTAATTATTTGCTCAACCTGCCATTCTACCTTCACAAGTTGCAGGGATCAGAACTTGCAGCCATTTGGCAGATTATGAGCTTTTGCATCTTGGAAATCCACCATTTTAAATACTTTTTCCGATCTTTTGAATGGGGTTTTTAAAAAAAAAAAATCACAGCTCTGCAGTCAGAAAGTGCAGGGAGAGACTGAGCTACTCAAATTGCAGATTCTGTCTCTCCCAAGCTGCTGGTCGCACTCCAGCACCTCCGGTTGCAAGTTCCTCCTCTCCTGATCTTGCTGCTCCACCAGAGAGAGATTCTGTGATTGTCGGAGCACTGAAAAGCAGGAGAGAAGGAACCTGCAATTGGAGGAGCTGCAGCAGCCTGAACTACAAGTCATTGCAACACAAGGCTGGAGAGAGTGGACATTTGAAAGGAAACAGTCCCATCATCCTTCAGAATGATAAACGTGAGTGAACAGGATTTGCTCTGGGGATTGTTACCGTATTTGTGCATTAGTAGTTGTGGCAATTCCAAATTTCACTCATTCTGCTGTTAGTCCCTTTATCGCATCCGCAAGACTTTCTGCCCCTTACCCCCCCCCCCCCCCCCGCACTCCTGTTGCCAAGCCATAGCCTAGAAAAAAGCTGCCTCCTCCACCCATTAAAACCCACTTAACTTTGGATCCCACTGTCACCCATAGATGCTGAGGTAGTCTGTGATAATGTGGCTGGTGGATGTGGTGGACCAAGAAGGTCACCACATTTTGAAGCATCCTCTAGCCTACTATCTGTAGTCTGTCTGCTGCCATTGCGGCTTCAGAACAAAGTAAAAATTAATTGGTGGTGGGTGATGGTATGGTCCTTACAGCCACTCACTCCTCAATAACATCAAATCTGTACCGCCAAAAAACACAATCTATACTCATCCCACTTTTCAGCAGTAGGACCATAGCCTTCCATGTTATGACACTTAAAGGGTTCATCCAAGTACTTTTTAAAGGTTGTGAGATTTCCTACCTTAGCTCCCCAGGCTGGGTAGCCCCCCTTCCCCATCCTCTGCGTGAAAAAAAGATTTGCTCAAGTTCTGTCTAAACCTCCTGCCTTTCACCTCAAAATTATGCCCCTTTGTTCTTGAACTTGCAACTGATGGGAATAGCTGCTTCCTATCCATCCTGTCCATGCCCCTAATAATCTTATCCACTGCTATCAATTCCTCCATTGACCTTTTCTGCTCC